CGGTGCGGCGGCAGGCACGGGGCTCCTCGGTCGGTGCCTCCGGCACGAGCAGCCGAGGCCGACGGGGAGGTAACGGGTGTGCCAGGCCTGCTGGACAAAGTAGGTGCGTTTGCTTGCTCGTGTTGCCTTATGTCCAGCCTGAAAAGTTGGATCTGCTAACCCGTGGAAGGGCAGCTTTGCTGACAAGTGCGATCTGTCACTTCTGACTGCAGGGCTTTCTGGATTACAGTTTTAAGTTTTAATCTGCAGTATTTCTTTCAAAGGAACTCTGTGGGTTGTTACTGTTCACAGTCGATTTGTAAGTCAGATGTCTAAGGTGATGGGATATGGGCATTCAGAAGTGGCTACTGCTTAGGAAACAAAACATGTTCCACAACTCTCCTTTCAGTGCCAAGAACCTGTAATCTATAAATTTGTAGTTAACACTTTTTTTTTCCCCCTCCAGTTAAGGGAAATACTTGTTGATGTTTCCTTCTGTGTAAGTGATGTTCCGATTCCGGGACAAAGCCTGTGTCTTACACGTCATTTCAGGGGTGGTCCATCTGTGTTTGTATGGAAACTTCCCTACCTTAGTAGGAGTCTGCAAACCTGAGCCTCTGTGGGAGTCAGCATTGCCTGTTAGTTTTACCATACCTCTTGCACATCTACCAAAAAGTTCTTTAGTGGGAAATTGTACCAGATACTAGCTTTGATTTCCTAACAGAGCAAGCCCAGTGTGATTGTGTTGTCAGATTGTTTGGGGGTTTGGGTTTTTTATTTCTTTGGCTTTTTTTGACTGGCTTCAAAGGGAGGGGTCTAAAAGATAAGATTAAGTTCCTAATTCATGCACATAGCATGCCATTAGAGAGAGATTCCCTGCTAAGGGGCAAGCGACACCCATAGGTTTAACTGCATTGTTCTACATCTGTGATGGGGTGGGAGAATAGTGGAGGTGCTGAGAGGTACCTGTTGATAACAATTGAAAGCTGCTGGCAAATGGTCTTTACAGTTCTCACAACCTGTTTGGTCTGGGTGGTGGCACGAAGTAACAGATGCCTTTTCATCTTGGAAACAGTCCAGGGTACTTTTTTTAAAATTTGAAAATACTGTGAAACTCAGAGTTTAGGTGTGTTGAATTAAAAATAGGAAGTGTGTATTACCAAATTATGACAGGTATTCAGTAGTTTTCCTCACACAGGTTTCTCTTTTAAAGCAGATCCAGTGTGCAGTCCTTACGACTTGTCGTAACCTCAATGTTCTGTTGATTTAATAAAGACGAACCTTGGAAGAAAAGCTAGACCACTTCTTAGGTTTACAGGGCTGAAAAATACCTTAAATTTAAATTATTTCAGTGCAGTACTACAGATACTTCATCTCTTTTATGAATACCTTCCTTACCACTCCAGATGTTTGCAGTGTAATGTAGCTTTTCTTTTCATACTGGAATTAGCAAGTTCTTTTTCTGTTTACCAGAGTTGTTTGCTATTACTTCTCATTGCAATATCCTGAGTATTTCCTGTGAATTTAGAATTAAAAGCACCGAGCTAGATGGACAAAAAAAAAAGTTTTATTTGCCTGGGTGTTTTTAGGGTCATGATTGTGTGACGGGGTGGGGAAGTGACTGAAGGAAGAACAGGTTTGAAGAAGCAGAGGTGATCAAATGCTTCCCAGCAGCATCTCAAAGCCTAGATCTGGTAGTCCAGGTCCTTTTTAGAAATCTAATACTGTGTGGGTTTGACCCTTTATTAATAGCAAGCAAAACTTTTTTTTTAATTATTGCTGCTGCTTAAAGACTCTTTTGTGAAGAGAACTTAAAACTGTATATGCTTTAAATACATCTAGGAATGTTCTCAGCTTGTCAGAGTCCCTGTTAGAGCACCTTGAGATCGTCCCTGTTCTAACTGAATAAAACAGGTTCTCTTTTAATTTAACTTCACTTTTTTTAGGAGAAAACCTGTTCCAGAGATCTGAAATGTACCACAGTATAAAGTCATGTTATTACATTATGAATATATGCTGCTTTGACGTGTTCTTCCCTAGTTCTCTATGAATTTACAGGTTCTACTTAACCAAATACTTGGGGGGAGAAGATATCTTTGAGCCAAGTTTTAATAGTCATAAACATGTTTAATTGTGAACATGTTTAAGCATATAACATTTTGTATAAATAATAATTAGTATAGTACATGATATGACACTTGTCATGGAATTAATTTGGTGTTTACATTTTTGTAAATATGCATCATATTAGGTATTGCTATACAGGGAAGGTTTTTCTTATATATATGCATACATGTTGTAAGTTTTTTTTGTCTCTGCTACTTTTGTTTCTGTTTCCTTAGTGAATACCCAGAGCAAATTAATCTTTTTTTAAATGCAGGAAATTCTTTCTCTCTCCCCACACCAGTGTATTCATACACTGGAAGATAAAAGCCACTAATTCTTAAAAATGGAACATGCATTGAGGCACAAGGGGAGAGGATTCCTAAAGTATGTAGCCATATATCTCATTTCCAGTGTCAGTCGTTGCTTCTGGTACTGTGGCCAGGTCTTTGCTTCACTTTAGTTAATTAATTGATATTGATTATTAAACAAAGGAGCTATGTTTTACACTTTTTCTAAAGTATCTAGTGTATGTTAGGTAGCTATGAGTTTTATAGAGAAGCAGTGTTGAAAGGTTTTCAGTCATTGATCAAATTCTGATTTGTATGTGAAAGGAGAGATAATACCTTTGCTATCAGGGTCTGTAAGAACTAATTTAGAATCTGCTGTTTAAAAAATAAATCTCCCCCAATTCCAAGAGATTACTGTAAGCTTTGCTAAATAGTTAGTTCCCAGAGACAACAGCAATGAGCAAGTCTCATGTTTGAAGGGACTTTTGTCACCTTAAATACTTTGACCTTAGCATTTACTGCATTAACTTCCTGTATTTACAGGCAGTGCCTAACAGCCTCGTAAGGCTGTTTTGCTCATGAATAAAAGTTTGGGAAAAAAATGGTTTGTGTGAGTAGTAATGTGTGTGTAAAATACCTGAATGGTTAGTAGGAAGTCAGCAAGTAGAGTGTAAAGGTAATACTTTGTTATGAAGCAACACTTCAGGAGCTGTACCAGCTGCTGAGACATTTCATCAGGAAAATAACCTCATGGGAGTAATATAAAAAAGTTAAATAATGTTGAGATCCAGGACTCATGCTTGGCAATGTAATATGTTACCATATAGCACTGTAAATTGCTATTTTTGAGTAGTTCCACCTTCTTGTGGCAAGGAGTGACAGAACTTACTGACAAAGTAACTTGCTGGTTGCAAAATTACATTATAAATTAAATATTACCATAGTGTTCTGTCTCTCAGATACTCTTATGAATGAATCTCTTAAAGGAAGCATTAACTACTTCTTACTTTTAATAGGTTGAGCTTGTTTCCCTGTATTGCAACAACTGCTGAATGGAGGGAGGGAGTGGAATTCAGTCTTTACTGATACTCTTTCCGTTACCATCCTGCATGGTTCTTTACCCATGTTTTACAGAGTGGTGAAGAATTAGGAGAAGCTGCAGTTGTTCAGCTGAGTGGAACTAAATGGGTGGCTCCCTTCTGGACCTTCACTTCTCTGTATTAGGTAAGAGGGGTGACTTGCTTCTTTTGAAGCAACTTGTGTTACCTTAGAGGTATATGTGTTTTAAGAGAAACTTCTAGTTAGCAAATTCTTTTTTGGACTTTTTTTTTTGTTGTTACTGTTGTAATCTGGTGGCTTGAAGAGGGTATTCATAGTATGTAGCTGTTTGAGGCTTTTCTTCAAAAAATATTACTGTTTCCATCCATCCAAGTAGTTTTAAAAACTTGCTCTATGTTCACATACTTTCTCTCAGAAACATGATTATCTTGTGTAGAGTATGTCAATGGTAGGACTGTCCCAGAGCTGAATTACAGCAGTGATGGTTCAGCACAAAGTTCAACTAATGTACCAGTTGTCTCCTTGATATGGAAGGTACTACTTTTTTTTCACAGAATAATTTGCCCTCCTAAAATGTTTCTCCCTGTCTTTCAGTACTTAGAGGGCCTATAAAGGTAGCAGAAAGGTCTCCCTGGAGCCTTCTCTTTTTCAAGCTGAACAACCTGAGCTCTCTGAGCCTTTTTTCACAGGAGAGGTATTCCAGCCCTCTGACAATTTTTGTTTCCCTCCTATGCACCTGGTCATTCCTGAATGTCTGTCATTCCTGTGCTGAGGACTCCAGAGCTGGACAGTGTTCCAGGTGGGGTCTCACCAGAGTGGAGCAGAGCAGCAGAATTGCCTCCCTTGACCTGTGGGCCATGCCTCTTTTGATGCAGCCCAGGATAGGGTTGTCCTTCTGGGCTGCGAGCACACACTGCCAGCTCACATCCAGCTTTTCATCCAGCAGTACCCCCAGGTCTTTTTCTGCAGAGCTGCTCTCAATCCTTTCATCTCCCAGCCTGTACTGATACTGGGGGTTGTTCCAGCTTGGGTGCAGGACGTTGCACTTGACCTTGTTGAACCTCCTGAGGTTCACATGGTCCCGCTTCCCAAGCTTGTCAGGTCCCTCTGAATGGCTTGCCTTCCCTCAGTTGTCAGCTGTGCCACTCACCTTGGTGTCATTTGCAAGCTCACTGAGGGCTCGCTCAGTCCCACCATATGTCATTGGTGATGATGAACAGCACTGGTGCCAATACAGTCATCTGAGGGACACTACTTGTCATTGATCTCCATCTGGACATGGAGCTATTGACTGCTATCCTCTGGATGCAGTCATCAAGCCAATTCCTTATCCGCCCAACAGTCCACCTATCAAATCCATGTAATCTCAAATTTAGAGAGAAGGATGTTGTGGGGGACCAATCAAAGGCCTTACAGAAGTCCAGATAGATGTCATCCATTCCCTTGTCCACTGAAGCAGTCACTCCATCGTAGAAGGCCACTGGGTTGTTCAGGCAAGGTTTGCCTTTGTAAAGCCATGCTGGCTGTTTCATCACCTCCCAGTCCACCGTGGGGCTTGGTGTTCAATCCTTGTGTGACATGATTTCAAAGCTGTAACTAAATTAAAGTGTATCTACAAGGTACAATGTCTCAGTTTGAAACCAAATGGATATTTATTCTTGGTGGGCCTTGCATCAACTAGTGAAATCACAAGTAGAAAATCACAGAATGTGTGTAGATTTGGTGGTTGTTGCAGACCTCCATGGCAGCGACTACTCCACATGCTTTGCTTTTCATTCTGGTGACAGGACTTCAGCTGTCTGGACTGAGCTAGAGTTCTGGGGTGAAGCTAGTTCTTGGTCTTCCTTCATGGTGACTATGCTCTTACTTACTCCCTTTGGTGGACCTCTTTTTGGACTTGTTGATACTTCCTTGATAATCATTGTATCAAAGATGAGAATAACAAATACAGACCCCTACTCCCTTACCTTTAGGAGCTGCATGCAGGGGGAGGCCCAAGAGCTACCTCTAGCATGTTGCCAAGCTTGCCTGATGCTGAGACATGCCAGACTTGTCCAGGCAGCCAGGCCCTGGCACTGCTTGTGTTCTCCTGCTCTGGTATGCTCTGTGGGACCCAGCTTGGAGCAGCTGCAGTTCA